CCTTCCACACCGTCTGGAGGTGGCGCCCCCACGGCTGAGAACGTGGCCCAGCCAAGTGAGGCCCTCTTCTCTCACCTTCGGGCTGACTACATGTGTGGGACACACAGGCATTGCCCCAGACGCCCCTGCACCTGGCAGGGACGGGCTGCAGCCCCGCAGGTGAGAGCCTGATCCCCAGGCCACTGGCAGCCGCACCCCCAGGGCGCCGCACCCCAGAGAAGGAGCTCGCGGGCCTGGCAGGCTCCACTCTCCCTTCCCCACAGGCACACACAGACCCGGCCCACCCGGATGAGCTACCCATGGCCACAAGCACATTGGGAGGTCATGTTGTGCCCACCGCTGAGGCCTGGGCAAACATGTCTGCAGGGCTGCATGGCCCGGCCCAGCGGCCTGGCTGCCCAGCGATGGAGGAGGCAGGGAACATCCGGGCTGGACATGGTCCCCAAGCACAGAGAAGACACACGAGGCTCTGGCCGCATGCCCTGCGCACCCTGCACCGGCCCTACCCCACACCCCGAGCTGCTCCGCCTGCCCCACAGCGTCCTGTGTGTGCTGGACAGGGTCAGGCCCAACGCCCGCCTTCCCAGAGTGCCCCACGCTGGTGTGACTCCTCCCCCTGACTGTCCCTGCTGCTGTTCCCAGGCCACCGAGGCCCTGGGGCCAGGCCTGTGGCCCTGCTGGCTTAGGCGTCCCCAGTGAGAGCACTGTGAATCCTAGCTGCAGACGCCCACGGGAGCCCCACATGGGCACGGAGAGACAGAACGGGATAGCTGCTTCCCAGCCCTGACCCTGCCACACAGGCCGGGCACGGGTGCCCAGCCCTCACAGAGGCTCAGAGGCGTGTTCCACTGCCACGCGCCAGTCCAGAGCCAGCTGGACCTGCCCACGCACCCCAGGGTCCACGTACCTCTAAGGACCACCAAGCCGTGAGCCAGCGGCTCACCGTGCCTCCAGCCCTGCACCGCCCGTGCACGCCCCACAGCCCTGGGACGGCTGAGGAAATCACGGCGGGGACGAGACATCTGTCCACAGCTCAGGGCTGCCAGGCACAAGACGCCGGGCACGCCCCCCCCAGCCTCCAGACCCCTCACGCTGCCCTGCTCCCATTGACCTCGTCCCTGCCCAGCCAGGACGCACACCCAGGCGCGCTCCTTGGAAAAGCAGCTCCCGGAGAGAAGCAGGTGGGACAAAACGACAAGACGTGGAGACAGGAGGGGACACGGGACACGGGTCGCTGGGCTGGCGTGCACAGGGCGGGCCCTTTAGCTTGTGGCAGTGTGGCGGGCTTGGCGTGGAGCGGAGGGCAGGCCGTGGCGGGGTGCAGCGGGGCTCTCGCTTACCCACGCACTTCCTGTGCGCATTGAGGATAAAGCCCTCGGCACACAGCACTGTGTGGTTGACACAGTAGAAGGATCCCAGGGTGTTCACACAGAACTGCCGCCGGCTACAATCATGAGCGCCCGTCAGACACTCATCTTGGTCTAGTGGCAGCCAATGGGGGGGGGGAGGGAAAAGCAGAAGGGCTGTTAGAGGGGCGTGGCCTGGGGAGCTTCGGGTGGGGCAGGGAGGGGGCCGGGCTTTCCCGGACCTCCCAGCCCACCTGAGGGGCAGCTAGGCCTTAGAACCAAGTCTGCCACCCATGTCAGCACCAGGCCCCCCTCCCTCCCCCAGGAAGGATGCGGAGCGGCGAGCGAGTCTCGGGAGGCCAGGCTGTCCACCCTCCCTCACACAGTGGGCAGGACCAGACACGGCCTCCCCCACGTCAGTGTCCATCCACAGCGGCCAAGTTGTGAACTCGAGATTAAGGGGCAAGGCTGGAGAGAAGGGGTTACCAAGGGAGCTCGAGGGAGGGTGGGCAGATGTTAGGAAGTTTCCAGGGAAGCTCCGAATCTGGAGCGAGTTTAGAAGTTCTTGAGCTTTTCCTGGTTGGTAACGCATTTGAGGATCGCAAACACAGCAGAGCGGGACTGCCCCCCGGGCAGGGCTGCGTGCGTGCTCTCCGAGCGCAGGCTCGCGCCCCACAGCTCTTACTACAGGCCCCGGAGCAGGACAGGTGGCCTGCAGAGAGTGGACACTGGCCACGCCTCGTGGTCAGCTGGACAGAGGGCACAGCTCTGCCTGCGTCTGCCAGGCACCACTGTGTGTGTGTGCCTTGGCAGGGCTGCAGCACCCCTGGTGTTGCATAGTCAAGGGCAAGATGTGGCTTTGAGCATCTGGGAGGGAGGTGACTATCCTGGGCACACCTGACTGGAATCCCTGAAACTTCCTCCTGGGTGAGCAGGCGAGAGGGAGGGGCCGCTGCGGGCGCAGCTGCCACGTGACCACATCGGCTCCTCCTGCCCTTCCTCCACCCAGGGCTCACCCAGGGCTGGGCGGCCTGGCCACACGGACAGGGACAGCCTCACAGGCAGGTGTGGCCAAAGAGAGCCACGGAGTCCTGGTTGGCAGCCCTGTGGCTCACATCTGCAATCCTAGCTACTTACGAAGCTGAGGTCTGAGGACTGCGATTCAAAGTCAGCCCAAGCAGGAAAGTCTGGGAAACTCTTATCTCTAATTAACCACCAAAAAGTTGAAGTGGAGCTGTGGTTTGAGTGGTAGAATGCCAGCCTTGAGCTAAAAAGCTAAGGGACAGCATCCAGGCCATAAGTGCAAGCCCCAGTACTGACAGGAAGGAAGGAAGGAAGGAAGGAAGGAAGGAAGGAAGGAAGGAAGGAAGGAAGGAAGGAATTCCCAGGCCCGGCTGGGCCTCCTGGGGCACCGGAGGCAGTCACGATGGCTATGTGTGGCCAGATCTGCAGGTGACCTGCATTCCTGTCCAAGCTTGAGAAACGGCTTGGGACACAGCTGAGCAATCCGTGGCAAGCATGTAGGCGGCTCCTCTGGGCTCCACCACAGCAGCCAGACCACACACACGGTGAGTCTGGGTCCTGACCACCTGACCGCCCGACTGGAGCCCCACCCCGGGTCGGCCGGGTTTGCGTGTGTGAGGGGGGCCCAGAGTCCTCACCTTCACAGGACACGCCGTCCGCCATAATGGCATAGCCCGGGAAGCAGGAGCACATGGCGGCGCCCCCGATGATTCTGCACACCTGCCTGCAGGGCCCGTTGTCTGGGGGGAACCACAGGGGGTCAGAGGCCCGGCCGTGGCCTGGGCCACACAGCTGGCCCCCAGCCCCAGCTGGTCCAGGGCCGTGCCCGGAGCCCAGCACCCCATGGAGGACGCCCCTCCCCCGCCGTGGCCTGGGCCACACAGCTGGCCCCCAGCCCCAGCTGGTCCAGGGCCGTGCCCGGAGCCCGGCACCCCATGGAGGACGCCCCTCCACTCACCTTTGCAGGTGTTGGGCTGTGGCACCGGCATGGGGATGGAATTGGAGGCCGCAGGGGCCGGCTCTGGCCTGGGTGCAGGCTCTGGCGCCACGTCCAGCTGCCGGGGTTCTCCATCTGGCATGGGCAGACAGCAAGGGGAGGCTCCCATCCTCCACCAGGCCTTCTCATGCCTGGGTACCACACCGTTCCCCACCCCCATCTTACAGGAGAAACTGAGGCTCAGACTGCAGAGTAGCTCAGGCAAGAATCATCTCACAAGCTAGGTGGGATGGAAAGGGGTGGAGGGGAGAAAAGTCCACACCAACAATGACTCCATCCTGGGCAGCCCAGCAGGGGGAGCTCCGGGACAGAGCCTCCAGCATTCCCAGGGCTCCGTGCCTTTAGCAGAGCACATCCCCATCCCCACCGCGGGCAGCCCAGCCCCGCCCCGCGGTCCGAGGCTCACCTGGACGGCAGGAGCGGCCATCATCCTGCAGTGAGAAGCCAGGAAAGCAGGCACAGCGGTAGGAGCCCACGGTGTTGATGCACAGGTGCTGGCACAGCTCTCCGGGGAGCAGCAGGCACTCATCCTGGTCATCGCCGGGCAGGCTGTTGGGCAGCTCAGCCTCTGTGCCCAGTGTCAGGGCCTCCCGGCTCACCACCTCTGCCTCTGAAACTGCAGTGGTGGTCAGCAGCCAGGACGGAGCCAGGTTGGCCAGAACCGGTGGTAGAGTGCACAAGCCCCATGAACCAGTGCAGGTCTGCCAGTCAGTGAGGTTGGGTGAATAGATGGATCAGGGAGTGAATGGATGGGTAGATAGATGAATGAATTGATGGATGGATGGATGGATGGATGGATGGACATGTGGATGCATGGATGAATACATGGGTGGGTGGATGGATGGACATGTGGATGCATGGATGAATACATGGGTGGGTGGGTGGATGGATGGAATGAATGGATGGGTAGATAGATGAATGAATTGGTGGATGGATGGGTGGGGGGATATGTGGATGGGTGGGTGGATGGATGGGTGGATGGAATGAATGGGTCAGTGGATTGGTGGTAGATGGAAAGTGGTTGGATGATTATTGGGGGATGGGTGGATGGATGGATGATGGATTGATGGGTGGATGGTAAGGGGATAGATGGATGATGGTAAGTGGAGAAGAAAGGAATGGATGAGTGAATGGGTGGATGGATAGGTGGATAGGTGGATGATGGGTGGGTGGATGGATGGGTGGGTGGATGAGTGGTTGGATGGATGATGAATAGGTGGATGGATGGGTGGATGAACAGATGGGTAGATGGGTGGGTGGATGGGTGATGGGTAGGTGGATGGATGGATGGGTGGGTAGATGAGTGGATGATTGGATGGATGGATTAGTAGCTGTGGAAGAAGATAGAAGCTGGGAGGGTGGTAAGGAAGTGCAAAGGTACTGGGTGGCCGCTGGGCTCATGGTGGAGTAGATGGTGAGAACCTCATTTCACAAGTAAAAAAGTAAAGGCCACAGGGAGTGGCCTCAGCACTCCGTGGAGAGAAGAGCTTGTTCCACAAACGTGACAGTGGAACCAGAGTCCCCACAGAGGCTACCTGCCCTTGGCCCCTCACACCTGCCTAGGTCTTCCTCCCACAAGGCCTTGGCCCCTCCCACCTGCCCTTGGCTCCTCCCACTGCCCTTGGCTCCTCCTATCCACCCTTGGCCCCTCCCACCTGGCTTTGGCTCCTCCCACCTGCCCTTGGCCCCTCCCACCTGCCCTTGGCCCCTCCCACCTGCCCATGGCCCCTCCCACCTGCCCTTGGCTCCTCCCACCCACCCTAGGCTCCTCCCACATGCCCTTGGCTCCTCCCACATGCCATGGCTCCTCCCACCCGCCCCAGTCGCCGGCTGGGGAGGACCTCACTCACCTCTCCGAGGGGCAGCCTGGGGCTCTGGAGGCTGGCGGACCTCAGGCACCATGAGGGGGTCTTCGCCCTCACAGCAGGAGAGCATGACGTGGTTACAGGGGTAGCCCAGGTTGGGGTTGGACTCGCAGGACTGGCCCTCAGCCCTCACTCTCAGTCCCAGGCCACAGCAGTCACAGCATTGCTGTGGGAGACGTGGGCCATCACCCCCTGCCCGTGCTGGGAGGGGCTGGTGAATGGTTTGGGCTGTTTGCTTTTGTTTTATTTTGGTGGTACTGGGGTTTGAACTCAGGGCCTTGTGATTTCTAAGCAAGTGCTGTACCACTTATGCCACCAGCTCTTTTGCTTTCAGTTAATTTTCAGGTAGGCTCTTGTACTTTTCCTTTGGCTGGCCAGGACCAAGATCTTCCTATATATTTTTCCTACATAGCTGGGATGACAGGCACACACCACCGTACCCACCTTGTTGGTTGAGTTGGGGTTTGCTAGGGTTTGTTTTAACCTGAACTGGTCTTGAACCACGATCCTCCCAATCTATGCCTCCCAAGTAGCTGGGATCACAAGCATAACCTACTATGCCTGGCAAGGGCGCGATTCAATGTAGTCTGGTCTCCTCTGCCCACTGCCCGTGTCCTGTCTCAGGGCAGAAGCTCTACCTCTGTGTCCCAGGTCCAATACAGCACAGGGCTATGCTAGTCTCCATAAGTAAATAAATAAATGTCCCTTTGCAGAGAGCACTGGAGACGCACCCGCAGCAGTGCAGTGTGTCCTACCCTGACCAGCAGAGCAGCGTGTCTGTCCTACCCTGACCAGCAGAGCAGCGTGTCTGTCCTACCCTGACCAGCAGTGCAGCGTGTTTCCATCCTGGCCAGGCCAGCCGGAAGCCAGCATCCCCTACTTCACTGTAGTTTCCAAGAGAGAGCTTTTCGTGGGGACCGACTACCACAAAGTTCGTCCTTTCTGCCCTTCACATCTCCCTTCATGGGAACATTTGGGTGGCTGGCACTTTTGCAGCCATATTGAGTCATGAAATGACTTGAGGTAGAAGCTGCAAGCTGAGGACCGTTGAACAGAAAGCCGGGCCCCTGAACGCTGTGTGGCCTTACACCGGCTCAGACCGCCATTTAATTTTTTCTTTTTTCTTTTGACGGCAACAGCTCTAGTGATTGACTCTCCCTCCCGTCCACAGTGCTCAGAGGACCGCTGGGGCCCCAAAGCCGCTAGGCGGCCCTGGCCAATTCAGGGGAAGGAGCCCGCGCCCCCGCCCCCGCCGAGGGCTGCGCACTGCTCTGAGGGACGCCAACGTCCTGTTCAGGGATTTCTTCTGCCTGTGGCCAAACTTGTCACCCGGGCTGCACGGACCTCCTTCACTAACCTCCTTGGCACTGTGGCCTTCTGGCATGTGACCCGAAAGGGGGCTCCATCCCCCACCGCGGCCCACCATCCATCTCCAATGCCTGGCACACACCAGGTTCGCCGATGATGCCGTGTGTCTCCCGGGCCCAGGGAGGGGGGTGGCGGGGGGAGGGGGAGGCCGCGGGAGCTGCCCGGTGGCGGGCGGGACAGGCCAGCTTGCCTTGTACAGGGAGACGCCGCAGCTGTCCTCCTCCTCAGCTCCGCAGGCCTCGCCCTCCTTGGCTCCCATGACACCGGCCACGCAGCTCTTCTCCTTCAGGTAGGAGATGCAGCAGTGCTTCTGGGCAGTCCTGTAAGGCGGGCGGCTCAGCCCAGGGTCCCGTCCTCCACAGAACCCCGTCCCGGAGGGGAGGCCAGGGGGGGCGGGGGGCACGTCCGCAGCAAGCGGGGCCGGGCGGTATGAGCTCATTTCTAGGCTGAACCCAGAAACGCAGCCGGGCCTGGCAGGATGGGGTTCCTGCAGAAAGCCCCTGGGGGACCCATGCGGGAGAGGAGAGGGGTCCCCGGAATGCCAGCCCTCTCTGTGGGGCGGCCCTGGAGCAGTGACGGCTGAGCCAGGACGATCAGGCCAGGGGCTCCAGGAGGGGTGCTCCGCACCTGCACCCCGGGGCGGGTGCCTCCTGGCTTCCTTGTCACCAGGGAGAGCAAGAGCACACGCGTGTGCCCAGCCCGGCGCAGCGCATGCTCTAACTCCTCAGCAGCCCAGACTGGAGGTTGGCAGGACAGGGGGGCAGAGGCACTGTGCAAAAAAGGCAGCGTGCGCTGGGCACCAGAAAAGGGGGTGTCGCAGAGGCACCCTGCAAAAAAGGGGGTGTCATGGAGGCCACCCTGCAGAAAAGGGGTGTCACGGAGGCCACCCTGCAGAAAAGGGGTGTCACGGAGGCCACCCTGCAGAAAAGGGGTGTCGCGGAGGCCACCCTGCAGAAAAGGGGTGTCGCGGAGGCCACCCTGCAGAAAAGGGGTGTCGCGGAGGCCACCCTGCAGAAAAGGGGGTGTCGCGGAGACCACCCTGCAGAAAAGGGGTGTCGCGGAGGCCACCCTGCAGAAAAGGGGTGTCGCGGAGGCCACCCTGCAAAAAAGGGGGTGTCGCGGAGGCCACCCTGCAGAAAAGGGGTGTCACGGAGGCCATCCTGCCAGGGCGCTGGGCAGGGAATCGTGCGCTCCCTGAACTATGCCGTCTGGAAAGATGGGGTGCCAAGAGGAGGGGAGATGGTGGCCACGCGGCATCTTTCTCAACCTTGGGCCTAAGTGGCTCAGCGCCGGGAACCCCAGGGCCAGAGGAAACGGGCAGCAGGGGAGGACGGAGAATGGCCAGGTCTCGGGGGTCGCCCAGGCAGCTGGATGGGAAGGAACGCACGCCTGGGGGAGACGGGGCTGCCCGGTGATGCGGGGCCCCTCAGCGCGCCCCTGGGGCTGTCCCAGTGATGCGGGGCCCCCTCAGCGCACCCCAAATGGCGCCCCGCACCAGAGCACTGGGCCGGCAGCAGATCCGCACAGTCAGCGGTGCTGGGGACACGGGGTGCCCGGGCCCCTCACCTGCACGTGTCGCCCTCCGGCCCGCTCTCGGGGATCTCCAGACACTCGTCCTTGTCGATGGCCCACTGCTGGCCGGCCGCGCAGCACGTCTCGATCAGGTCTTTGATGGAGCCTGCAGGGGCAGCATGGCGTGGGGCAGGAAAGCCCTCCCACCCCCAACCCTGGGGGACTCACCCAGGAGGCCCCGCCTTCCCACAGGGGCTGGGGGAGCCCCATAGCCAAAGAGCGACTCCAAGGGCTCAACTGGGGCCACCCACACCCCAGAGCCCCCAGACCACAGCACGGGACTGCAGCCATCTCCAAAGTGCACAGAAGTGGCAACACACACACACACAACCTGCCATCCACAAAAATCCACAAAAATCCTGAAGCCAGCCAAGGCAAAGACCACCCCGAAGAACAGCACCTCGACCCCCGGAGAAACGAGAAAGAACCACCAAGGAGCAAAGACAGCACAGGAGGCAGTGAGCCTGCGTGGCTGAAGCTCGGGCCTGCGTGCACCGGCCAGGGAAGCCCCCCTGCCTGGTCACAACCAGCGCCGGGGCCTGTGGGGGCTGAGCGGGGGGCTGGGCAGCCAGGGCGCCAGCACAGGGGACCAGTGAATACACGAGGACTCCGCAAGCTGACAGAACCAGACCTGCACAGCACTGGACACAGGGACACAAAGCCACGTGGAGCGGGGTACACGGACCAAAGGCCCTTGGGACAGCACAGGTCCAGGCACAGACCTGCCCGGTGCTGGGCTCAGCATCTCGGAAGGACTGACCCCATCACAGAGCTGTCCTGGGGCCCAGCCTGGGGTTCTGGTGGGGAGTGGGCGGCAGGAGTGGCCAGACCCAAGGGACCCCTCTGCCCTCCACGGCAGGCTGGCATCACCGGCCAGGAAAGTCCAGTTATAAACAGCTGCAGGCATTCAGGGATGACCCTCACTTCCTTTGATTACAGGACAATGGGTATCCGGAACAATCCAACCCAGAGGTCAAGACCCTTCCCCTCCCCCCTGCCCTTCCCCTCACCCCACCCGCCCCCCACTGCCCCCCTCTCCCGGATGTGAAATCCCTGAACGGGGCTCTGGAGGGCTGCAGAGGAATTTCTCCACCTGGCAGGAAAGGGCTGATGGGGTCCTGTCCACACACCCCCGCCAGTTTGCTCAGGATGTTTGCAGAGCCTCAGCAAACAGCCAGAGATTGCTGCAGCCTGGGCCCTGCCCCTGCCGCAGTGCTCTCTGGGGGAGGGGCCAGGCTGGCTTCCTCACCACCCAGGTGCCCGCATCTTTTCATGAGGTCTGAGATGTGGCCAAGCCGGCAGACGACCTGGGCACAACTGTCTCCGGGCCCTGGGGTCACAGAGCGGAGCAGGAGGGTGGTGGACGGATGGGGGCTCCGCCCGAGCCTGCCCCAGCTCAGTCCCCCAGCTTTAGCCCGCATGAAATCCGGGAGGCCCTGCAGCTCCTGCCCTCCCTCCACGTGGACAAGTCAGGGCTGGCCCTGGGGACGAGACCCAGGGGAGCCCCCGAGGTCCGCCAGCCCCAGCCCGGCCCCCGCTCGCCCCAGCCCAGCACACACCCAGCTCAGCAGAGCCGGCACACGAGCATTACCTACAAGAACCAAAGAAGCAGGGCGCAAACTAAAACCAGCCAGCCGGATGAAGAAGAGAATGCAGGCTTCAGCGCCGACACGAGCGCTGGTCCCAGAGCCGTCAGCTGCGGTGCACGGAGCGGAGCAAGCGCTGCCAAAAGGAGCGAATCCCCCCACCAGGGCCTCTGTGTCAACAGCGAACCCACAAAACACCTCACGGGAGCAGCCCGGGGCACAGAGGCCTCTCACAGGACACACGCCTCGCTGGGAAGTGGGGCAGCACATCCAACAAGGACATGGGGTCCCTTGGACGGCAGCACCGGCGACAGACCCAGCCACAATCGCCCCAAGAGCAGAAAGGAGTCTGCGAAAGAGAAGACCTGGCCGCTCTGGGAGACGCCCGCAGTCCCGGCGGAAGCGCGGTCCTCAGACGGGCAAAGGACCACGGCCTGCGGGCTGGGGAGCCGCTCTGCGCCGCGGTCCAGCGGGAAACAGATGGAAGCTACACACAGAGTTCCGCGTGCCCAGGACGGGGCCAAGATGGCGGCGGCACCATCCGTCCCGGTAGCAGAGGCGACCGGAACACTCGCCTGCCGCTGGCACGTCGGCTGGCAGCGTGCTTTGACACACTGGTTACACCAGCTAGAGCTAGCCATGCCCGGGCGCGGCCAGCCCCACGCCGCGCGGACATCTACAGACAGGAAGGCCCGAGGCCTGCGAAGCACGCACGGCGCTCCCGGCCTGCGAAGCACGCACGGCGCTCCCGGCCGGCTGCTTCCCCCCTCCACCCGTGCACACTAGCGCCCACTGCAGTGAGCAGCCAGCTTCCTCGCAGGGGCAACTCAGCTGTATTTAACGGCCCACAGTCTCACTGCTCCGTGTGAGGGCTGTGTGCGAGCCCCAAAGACCCCAGCTCGTACCAGGGAAGCCAGAGGCATCCTCAGCTGGCCCCGTTCTGACAGGCAGGTGGGTAATAGGCACAACTCACTGCTCAAGCCGAATGGTGACTTTGGCAGGGGTGGAGGGGCTGAGCTAACCTAGACACCAGAAAGACGCGTGCTCAGATCTGTTGGGTGGCGGACCCAGTGCGTGTGTAAGCACAGAGCACTCCGCAGATCCCAGCAGTGAGTGTGTCTAGGGACACGTGTGTACATGTATACACGAATCTTCCTCGGGGCAGGTGTGGGGCCTGAGTTCCATTCACTGAACCCCAGCCTCCCCATACGGCCTCACCGGAGGGACCGATGGCTCAGGGTCCCCAGTGGGAAGCCATGGCCAGCCTAGGGCTCCCCCAAACCTCACTCCCAGCCAGCAGCTTTGCAGGCTGCTCTGCCTGAACATGGGGGGGGACCTCGCCATGTCCTTACACCTCACACCTTGACCACACACTGTCCGGTCTGCCTCCCACCCCACCCCCGTGGCCTGCGGAGCAAGTGGCCACCAGAGCGACCACGGTGAAGCCATCCTACCGATGTGAAGAGGAGCCTGGGGCGTCAGGGCGATGTGATCCCTGCCCCACACCAGAGAGAGCAGCCCAGTGTTACTAACTGCCTCCACCTCCACATGGACAGCCATCACGTGAATCTCCAGATTGCAGCTTCTTTTAGACAATCCACGGGGCCGCCTGTGACCCTGAGCCCGGGGTCCCCACACTTGGAGCTGCTGCCCCCAGGTGACTTACAAAGCCGGCCTGTGCCCCCATCTTGGGACAGGCAGGGGGGCTGTCAGCTAGGGAGGGGCCCGGCCTGGGCCTCACGTGGAGGCGGGCCAGGAAGTGAGCAGCTCAGCACCCTGCCTAGCCCCAGCAGGGCTGGTCCTCCACCTCTGCCAGAGCGACAGCTTCTGGCCAGCAAAAACACATGACTGTTCACTCAAACAAAAACAGTCCACCCCGAGCTCAGCCCGCAGCTGGCAGGGAAAGAAAGGCGCGCTTGGCCCGAGCAGCCCCCTGTGCTAACTGACGTCTTGCTAATGTTTCTCAGGAACCCTGAGCAACCAGCCCACATCTGACAGAGGCACAACTAAGACTCAGAGAGGGAGACACGTTCGCCAGAAGTTGCACAGCCAGGACAGAGGTGCAAGTTCACTCCGCGAGGGCCTGGCGAGGCCCATTCCCAGGGTGACACAGCCCAAAGCTCAGGTGGAGGGGTGGGCAGAGCCCCGGCTCAGTGCTGGCTTCATTCAGAGGGCGCCCCTCCCCAAGTCCCAGCTGCCACCAGAGTGGAGCTGTGGCCTCCGTCCAAGCCCCTGGAAGGCCAGGACACAGGAGGCCAGGACTCCTGCGGGACTTCAGGATGGGACTGGAGCCCGGAACCCCACGGTGGACAGACACAGCAGCACCCAGTCTTCCAGCCGAGCACTTGGCTCTGGGAAGAAGCCAGGCGTGTCCACCCCTGGGGGAGGGGCAACCAACTAGTCCTTGAGCTCTGGTTCAAGTGGGAGAGAGCTAGCCTTGAGCAAAGTAGCTCCGGCACAGCGGCCAGGCCCTGAGTTCAAGTCCCAGGGCTGGTCCAACCACCACCACCACAAATAGCAGTTGTGCTGGCTCTGGAGGCCAGCCCCCATTGCACTCCTCATCTTTTACCTAAACAGAACGGGGTGCGGCAGGCCACCACGAACAAGAAGTCACGTGGCTCAGGGACAGCTCGGGCCCGGCGGACAGACAGGGACCGCGTGGGGGACAGACCGGACCGTACGGGGCAAGGCCCCCTGGAGCAGCTGGGAGGGGACACAGAGAGGGGAGGTAGCAGGCCCCGCGAAGCACCAACCACTCCTGCTCCAGAGAAGCCAAGTGCTCACCTGAGAACTCGGGACAAAAAGAAGTGGTGTAGCGGCTCATGCCTGCCATCCCAGCCCCTCAGGAGGCGGAGCTCGCGAGGAGCGGGGCTGAGGCAAGCCCAAGCAAAATGTGAGATTGCAGCTCAACAAACGAGCCAGGCTTAGTGGCGCACACAGGTGATCCGGCTAGGCACAAGCAGAAGGACTGTGGCCCAAGGCCAGCCCTGGGCAAAAAGCAAGACTGAAGGTGTGACTCAAACCCAGCACCACCAAAAAGAAAAGACCAAAGGGAAAGAGAAGGAAGGGGGAAACACGGTCGCCGCGTGCGCTGTGCAGGCCGTGTGGCTGCTCACGCAGAGGCCGGGGTGCGGGCCCCACAGCAAGCGCAGAGGCCGGGGTGCAGGCCCCACAGGGAGCGCAGAGGCCGGGGTGCAGGCCCCACAGCGAGAGCAGAGGCCGGGGTTCAGGCCCCACAGGGAGCGCAGAGGCCGGGGTGCGGGCCCCACAGGGAGCGCAGAGGCCGGGGTGCAGGCCCCACAGCGAGAGCAGAGGCCGGGGTGCAGGCCCCACAGGGAGCGCAGAGGCTGGGTGCGGGCCCCACAGCGAGCGCAGAGGCCGGGGTG